AGACCTCCCCAGCCACCGGCCGCTCCATGGGGTGGGGACCCGCTGCAGGGGGTGCAGGGCAGGCCCTGAGCCGTGAAGCCGGGGGTCCTGAGAACGGGCAGGACGGGGAGTGAGGTGCCCTGCGCCTCGCCACTTCTGTCCCCACCGGGCAGTGAGGCCAGGGAGTGACCACAGGACCGCTGGCCTCCATTAGCCTCCTCATTTCCAGGTATGCCCACTGCCACCTGTCCCCTAGTAACTAGGCTGTCCCTGGGCACGGCCAGACCTGCCGACCCCGGTGACTCCTGGTCCAGTGGCCCGGGGACAAACAGCCGGTGCTAGCCAGTTACCCACAGTGGACAGACGGCGTGGTGCAGCCGGGACAAGGGGACCGGAGGGTGGCGGACCTGCTCGGGGACAGCCCTGCATCACATCACCCTGCTGGGCGGGGGCATAGAAGTTTGGGCACCAACTTGAATGGGTAAACTTTTAGGGGTTTAGATTCAATCCCACATGCTGGTCTACATGCTCGAACTTACTATATCATGCACCACAAGGTCATGTGACTTGGGAGGCCTCCGCACCCTCTCAGCTCCTGGGGCCTGAGGGACCCCCGCCCCTCAGGCCTGGCATCTGGGCGATGCTACCGGCACTTCCGTTTGTAGGTAAAACCCTGGGGCCTGAGCAGACAGCGGCCCACCTACCCGTGCACCAGTGCTCAGAGGGCCCTCAGTCCTGCCCCAGGGCAGCTGGAGGCTCTGCGATGTGCCCTGGCCCCTTGCCCGGCCTCTGCTGGGGGCCCTGCAGTCTCGGATGGGGGTCACTTCTGCGAGTGTGTCCCCGCCCCCGAGTCCTGAGGGTTGGCCGAGGCGGGGAGGGGTTCCGGGCCTGCCCCGCCCTCAGGAGGCTCCAGGTTTACCACCCGGTTCACCAGGTTCCACTCCCCACACCCATAACCACCCAGGAGCGACCTCGTGGAGGGAAAGGTGCCAAACCGGAAGGTGCCCAAGGACAGACAGTACAAACACGGGGAAGCATTCTGGGAAAAGCACAAAACCAGTGAAGTGATGGCTGACGCAGAGGCAGCCGGGGAGGGGGGACCAGCACAGGGGCCAGAGCCACCTCCCGTGACAGGCGGCAGCCCACGGCCCCGCGGAGACACGAACGCGGCCGAGGTAGCTGGGGAAGAAGTGTTCGCGGCACAGAGAGAGGGTCAGATCCTCAACGGAGAACATTTCTATGTGTGTTTTTTTAAAAATATATTTTATTGATTTTTTACAGAGAGGAAGGGAGAGAGAGAGAGAGTCAGAAACATCGATGTTTGACATCGATCAGCTGCCTCCTGCACATCCCCCAGTGGGGATGTGCCCGCAACCCAGGTACATGCTCCTGACCGGAATCGAACCCGGGCCCCCGCAGTCCGCAGGCCGACGCTCCATCCACTGAGCCAAACCGGTTTCGGCATTTCTATGTTTTGGTAAAAGACAAGCCAACAGGAAAAAACGAACAGAGATCTGAAGAGACAACTCCTAGAGAAGCGGTTCTCAACCTGTGGGTCGCGACCCCTTTGGCGGTCGAACGACCCTTTCACAGGGGTCGCCTAAGACCATCCTGCATCTCAGATATTTACATGACGATGCATAGCAGTAGCAACATGACAGTGATGAAGTAGCCACGAAAATAATTTTATGGCTGAGTCACAACAGGAGGAACTGTGTTTAAAGGGCCAGAAGGTTGAGAACCACTGTCCTAGAGGCAAGCAGTCGCCAGAGCGTCTGTATAGATAGAGCGTCTTAGCCCTGCTCGGAACTGAGGAAAAGAGCAGGAGGAGGACTGAGGTGTGACTGCTTCGCTGTTGGTCTGGGAAAACCTTCAGGGCTCTCGGTGCCTGTGCTGGTGGACGTGGGGGAAGGCCACGGGAGCGGCTGTCGTCTTGGGAAATAATCTGGCAGCAACTGTTAAGTGTAATGAATCCTGATGGATTAGGAAAGCTGGACGGACTAATTACTAGCAATGAGGTTGAATCAGTAATTAAAAACCTCCCAAAAAAACAAGAATCCAGGACCAGATGGCTTCACTGGTAAATTCTACCAAACATTCAAAGAAAAATTAATACCAATCCTTCTCAAACTATTCTAAAAAATATACCAAAACCTTACCCTGATACCAAAACCAGACAAGGATGCCACTCACACACAACATAAAGACCAATATCCCTGGTGACTATAGATGCCAAAATCCTCAGCAAAATATCAGCGAATTCAACAATACATTAAAAGGATGCTACGTCACAGTCATGTGTGATTTATTCCAGAGATGCAAGGATGAGTCAACATCTACAAATCAGAACAAACCACCCCAAAATGTGTATGAAACCACGAACGACCCCAAATAGCCAAAGCAAGCTTAAGAAAGAAGAAGGCTGGAGGCATTTCACCCCCTGATTTCAAACTATATTACAGAGCTACAGTCATCAAAACAGCATGGCATTGACAGGAAAACATATTGCTGTAACAGAGTAGGGAACCCAGAAAGAAACCCATGGGTTTCTACACGGTCAATTAATTTATGACAAAGGAGCCCAAATTATGCAATGGGGAAAGGACAATCTCTTCAATAAATGATGTTGGGAAAACTGGGCAACCACACGCAAAAACTGGACCCCTATCTTATACCACACACAAGAATTAGCATAAGGGATTAAAGGTTTGAGCAGAAAGCCCCTAGAACAGTGGTTCTCAACCTTCTGGCCCTTTTTTAAAAATATATATATTTTATTGATTTTTACAGAGAGGAAGGGAGAGGGACAGAGAGTCAGAAACATCAACGAGAAAGAAACATCGATCAGCTGCCTCCTGCACACTCCCCACTGGGGATGTGCCCGCAACCAAGGTACATGCCCCTGAGCGGAATCGAACCCGGGGCCCTTGAGTCTGCAGGCTGACGCCCTATCTGCTGAGCCAAACTGGCCAGGGCCCTTCTGGCCCTTTAAATGCAGTTCCTCATGTTGTGACCCAACCATAAAATTATTTTCATTGCTACTTCATCACTATCATGTTGCTACTGTGATGAATCGTCATGTAAATATCTGAGATGCAGGATGGTCTTAGGCGACCCCTGTGAAAGGGTCGTTCGACCGCCAGAGGGGTGGGGACCCACAGGTTGAGAACCGCTGCCCTAGAAGAAAATAGAGGCGGTAATCTCCTTGACATCGGACTTGGCAATGATTCCTTCAAACCTGACACCGAAAGCAAAAGTAACAAAAGCAGCAACAGACAAGTTCACCAAACGAAACGCTTCTGCCCAGAAAGGAAGCCGCCAGCAGAAGGAAGGGCAGCGTAGAGGACGGGGGAGGAACTGCAGGCCACGTGTCTGATAAGGGGCCAGCATGTAATAAGAGTAAAGAAGTCACACAACTCAACAGCTAAAAACAATTTAAAAATCCAACTAAAAAAATGGGCAGAAGAGCTTGTCAAAACTTATGACAGAGCCGGGCCGGTGTGGCTCAGTGGTTGAGCGCGGACCCAAGAACCAAGAGGTCGCTGGGGAGGGAGCCGAGAACTGGCTCTCTCCTGCTGGGAAAGGGGGGGCAATTAAAAGTGGCCTGACTTCAGGACCCCGTGGTCTGTGTCCTCAGTCGGTCAGGGGAGACCTGTGCCCAAATGTCCCTCACCTGCCTCTTCAGGGTCCGAATGCCTTGGACCTTGGACGGGGAGGACGGGAGGTGGGCGCAGAGGAGGGACCGGCGCCTGTGCTGAGCGGGAGAAGCCACTAATGACAATTTAAAAATCCAACTAAAAAAATGGGCAGAAGAGCTTGTCAAACTTATGACAGAGCCGGGCCGGTGTGGCTCAGTGGTTGAGCGCGGACCCAAGAACCAAGAGGTCGCTGGGGAGGGAGCCGAGAACTGGCTCTCTCCTGCTGGGAAAGGGGGGGCAATTAAAAGTGGCCTGACTTCAGGACCCCGTGGTCTGTGTCCTCAGTCGGTCAGGGGAGACCTGTGCCCAAATGTCCCTCACCTGCCTCTTCAGGGTCCGAATGCCTTGGACCTTGGACGGGGAGGACGGGAGGTGGGCGCAGAGGAGGGACCGGCGCCTGTGCTGAGCGGGAGAAGCCAGGCTCCGTCCACCCCTGGGACCTCGCCCCCCAAGACAAGCTGTGGAGAAGGAGCTGCTGTTTGGGGAGGGCGGCCAGGGCCCTGGGAGCTGTGCAACCAGCGGGCGCCCAGGCTGCAGCCCCCGCCCCCTGACCAGGGCGGGGCCGCCTCCGGCCTTTGCTCCGGCTGAGCCCTGGCTCCC